CGCTTTTCTAATCCTAATCTGCCCGATTTCCTTTTCCAGACCCATTCTGCCGGATGTCTTTTTTTTTTTTTTTTTTTTTTTTTTTCTTTTTTTTTTTTTAAACGGGCCCAGTGCCCAAGGCAGGTCTTCTAAGTTTGTTGTGGGTCTGTAAATATGGCGTTCTTCTGTTTCTATTACCCTTACTTTTCTTACCCATTGTTCTGGAAGTGTTATTTCTTTCCTTTTTTTTTTTTCTTTTTTTTTTTGTGGTACTGTTATTTACCCTGATGAAGTTCGGATTAACAGGCTAGTGGTGGTCCCCGGTTCCTCTATTTGGTATGTTGCCCAGTCCCCCTGGTTCAATTGTACGGACCCTTGAGTAGTTGTTGGGCCCATCCGTCCGGGACGGAACTAAGGATGTTATTTAGGTTTTCTTGTAGTTTATGGCATCCTTTGAGGGCTTATCTCAGTTCCTTGGCGGATTTCCATCCTTTTTTCTGCATCATGCCATACTAGGTGGCTGATCTGCACACTCCCTTTTCTACCCAAGTTCCCCATCTCATATCATTTCCGGTTAAGGTCCAGCGTTTTCTTTTTACATTTTTTCTAAAAGAAAAAAAATAAACTGAGTGTCCAGTAAGGACAAGTTGCAAGAGAGAAAAAAAAAAAAAAAAAAAAAAAAGTTGCAAGAGAAGAGAGGGGTTGCCTGAGCACTTCCTCTTCTTCGCATGTTGGTTTTCTCACTCTTGCGGGTAAGATCTCCTTCATCTCCTTTTTTTTTTTTTTTTTTTTTTTGGATCTCCAAGTTCTCATTGATTGTTTCCAGAAATCCTGTTCGAGCCGTGCCCTTCATTGCCCATGATATTTGGCCATGATCCAAAAGAGTCCACGCATGTTTTGTGAGGTTCGGTATTTTACTAGCTGCTGTATCCTTCTTAGTCCTACAGTCTTCCTTCCCCCGAATCCAACGCACGGTCATTATAGCCGAATTTGGTCCATCTTTCTGTCTAAATTCAGCTATAATGACCGTACGTTGTATTCGGAGGAAGACTGTAGGTCTATCCATGGTAAATTATCATTGGATATTAACTTATTAGTTTCATCAACTTTTATGATCCATTTAGATTGTAGGGCTTTTACGAATTTTTATCTGTGTTTCTGAGTCGAGTATTCCTAGTCCCCCTTTTGCCTTACGCTGTGTTACATGCTTCCATGCCACTTTAGTTATAAAGTCGATTTTCGATGGGTCCCCTGTCCAAAGATAGGCCGCTGCCTTTCTTCCCAGATGAGTTCTAAGATGTTGTGGAGGGCTCCAAGGCAGTGTGTGTAGTTTAGGGAATTCGTTAAATTGTTTGGGCATACAAAACATAGGCATGCTAGTGGTGTTTGCTCCTATCAACATCACTAACATCTACCTGGGTTGTTGCATTAAAAAAAAAAGAAAAAAAAAGAAAAAAAAAACAAAACAAAACAAAAACAGACCGATGTTGAACCGATTGGTTTATGTGCCGACTTCAGGGCGGTAGGTATGCCAATAGGCCGAGACGCCCCCAGATGCGACAACAAACTGTTCCATTTTTATTAGCGAAGTGTTCAGCTTGTAATAAAGGTCCATACCCTGATCTGGTTTCTGGCGGAAGGATAGAAGCAAGCTACACATTCTGTGCTCCGTCCGGCCGTGGGTGCAGGCTGAGTGGGAGGGAGGATAGCAGCAAGCTGCAGCGCTCCTTCCAGGTCCTCGAACACTGGAATGGGGTCTGCCCTTGATTCTGTTTGGTGGAGAGTCCCCTAATTTCGAAGACAAGAAACACGACACTTCTGTGAGTACGTCCTATGAAACGTGTCGTAGAATCGTCCGGAAGTACACAAGTCCTGAATGATTTGTTCATCTTTCTCAGTATATGGTGAATACCGTGAGGGGGTTTTGCATCTGTTGAGCCACCGACCCGGGCCTTCGCTGACATCTCCAGCCATAATCAAACGGGATTCCGGCAGGTATATGTGTTCCCGACTTCTCAAAGAATTCCATCGTTCCGCCATTGCATTGGGATCATATACACTTATGATATAGAGAGTATTATAGACCACTTGCAGATTTCTGTTTACCTACCATCCTCTGTAGGCCCCCAGAACGGGCCAGAAGCCGAGATTGTCGCTAGAGTTCCAGGTTCATGATGAAGATTGCACATCTCTTCTTCCAGCATTCTCCCCCCAAATAGGCAGGTAGTTGCTGTGAAAGTAGGATTCCCACCCTTTTAACGTCACCCCCGTGTACTTATCCTGTGGATCGCTTTCTGAGAGACCAATTTCCCACTTAACATTTGTTCTTTTTTATGCATGGGGAGCACCAATATGCCATTGCTAGAGAGGGAACCCATCAAGTGTCTCAGACGTTGTTGCGTGTTGGTTTGGCTGTCCTCAGGTGGGCTCAATGACGAGGCCGCGGGTGTGGGCTGATTGTTGCTCTCTTGTTGGTCAGGCTGGGTTTGTCGGCTTGCAGCGGGCCAGAAGCATCCTGTTGTGCAACCAACGTCACGCGGATGTCGATCTTTTTTTTTTTTTTTTTGGGGGGGGGGGGGGGGGGGGGGGGGGGGGAGTCAGGAGGGGACAAAGCTCCAATCCATTCGTGGGGAGCAACACATGCTGGGAACCGGGCCCAGCATCCCTCTTGAAAATACAGAGTACAATTGAGGTATCGGCCCTACAGGGGCCATTACCCGATTTCAGCTAAGAGCAGTTGGAAAGATTTAGAAGAACTCAGAAAAAATCGTGAAGAACTCGAAGTAAAGCTCCAAAGAAATTTACGGAAAGTTCACGGCATGTGATGAATTACCAGAACCACTCAATCATCTCCCACTCACTCCCCAGCTCAGAAGAGGAAAGGGAGAGGAGAGAGGAGGAATCCAACCAACCTCTTTCCCCGTGGAGAGCGACTAACCCCATGCCACTATCTGCCTCCGCCCAAGGTCGACCCACTCTCCGTCAACCCGGGCCCCAATATATAGTGGACCCCTCAATTACTGCCCTTTATCGCCCCAAACACAGCACTTCCCTCCAAGATGCTACCCCCCCGCAAGATATGACTCTCTCCCATTCCCTTTAGGCATCCAAACCTGCTTCTGTGTCTGATCCCGGTGGTCTGTGATTGGAGGTGGTGTGAGGGAGGTGTGAGAGGTGGAGAGGGGAGGGGGGGGCACTCGCCGGCCCTCTTCTCCAAAGCCTTGGGAGGTGTCCAGTTGTCAGGAGGGTGTGATTCCCTATCCGGCTTCCCCTGTTTTTCATATCCACACTGTCGGCCTTCCTTCTTTTGTGACATCCTCGATATAGACCCAACCCTCATGCAACAATCGGCCGGTGACCCGGTTCTTCTTCAGGGGGTGGAGCAGGCAGCTGTGCTCGTGTGCATAGGTGACCATAAGCCTTACATTTGCATTCTGGAGAACCACCGCCGGGGATTATTTGTCCTGTGGATTTTGTACTTCTTCCGCCCAATTCAATAGGGCATAACGTCGTCTATTGGAAATGGCCGATCAGGGGGGGGGAATCAAGCGCGGCCATAAGGTGATCATCCCACTTCGCCACATATTGGGGGAGGAGGTCAACGAAGTCGACGATGTCGTACTATTCCCCAAAGTCCTGGACGAAAGCAGCCTGAATTTCTACAAGGATATGCCGAATATCAACCCAAAAGTGCTCTGCCATCATTTGTCCCCTGCGCTCCTCCAGGCCTTGTGTTTTGTGGAACCCAACGATAATCTGGACTTTGGAATGATGGCATCTTAATTTTCTCAACCCGTTTTCCCCCGTGGACTCCCAGGCAACCTGCGCAAGAGGACACACGGAGTGCTGCACCCTTGTCTTCTCTGTTTGTCCTCCCCAGAAATGCGGAGGATAGTGTAAGATGGTAGAGGAAATGGGTTGCATGAACAGAATCAGAAAGGAGTTATGGGATGGGCCGTATTCGCACTCCGCTTGAGAATTCTAGTCAATGACGGCTTAGTTCAAAACACCAGTCCCTAAATAATAATAATAATAATAATAATAATAATAATAATAATTCAAAAAAAAAAAAACACACCAGTCCCTTTACCCAGGTTGCAACGCAGGTTATGGGTGGGTGAAGTCTATCTCGTTGCAACGCAGCGGTTAACGCACTTCATCGTTTGGGGCTGCTAACGCACTTCATCGTTTGGGGCTGCTGGGCCTACCACATGGAAAAGGCTGTGGCAGGGCCACGGTAAAACTTGCAATTTTGGGCCCAGCCTGCCTTGGGAAGTTGGTATATTTGGCGTTCGGTGAAAAGAATTGGCATCGGAAAAAAGAGGCTTAGGTACTGGCACTTTAAAGGATCAGTAGATACGATCCTCTTGTGTATGACGGGGCTTCCCACTGCTCGTCAAGCATTTTGGCAAAATGCGAGCACGCTGGATTTTCTTTGGTTTTGGCTGGCGCCGCCCTACTGAGGGCCATTTTCCGCCTCGCTGTTTACAAGACACATGACAGTAAAAGACTGAGTCAGTTCTAAAATTAGACAGGCCGCAAAAAAAAAAAAAAAAA